ATCTCTATATATATATATATATATATATATATATATATATATATATATTCAAATAACTTAAAAAATATATATACTTTTTCCACATTTTTAATGCCATTTTATATATACAGTGTGTGTGTGTGTGTGTGCGTGTGTATAACATTCTATTTTTTATATTTTATATAGTATATTTCCAAAGTTTTCATAATTTAATGGTATTTGATATAAATATTTTGGATGAATGGATGGACGGACGGACAGACAGACATACATATAGATAAAATATACATGTAAAGTACACCTTTGAAATGTATAGTAGGAAGAATTATATTTAATAATTTTATTTATATTCACCAATATAACAATACATACACAATTTTACCTATATATATTTTTTTACTTAAATAATTTGCAATGCATAAAATGCAACACAGAAACTTATGAGTAATGATGACCCAAACGATTCGTGAATCAGACAGTTCAAAAAAATTTATTTGCGAAAACGAATCAAAACTACTACAGATAGACAGATAGACTACAGATAGACTACAGCCCAAGACTACTGCCATGTTAATGAGGTTTGAATGAGTAAATACGTTTTCTCATACACGCAAGTCATAGTCGGTCATGACACAAGGAGTGATCGTGACATTGTTGTGAACTTTAGGAAAGTCTATAGCCAAATGAAAAAGTGGATTAAAATCATAGTCATTGTTTATGATGTTGGTTAATTTTATATTAGCAACATGATCTATAATATTGAATAGATCATACATTTCTGATATACTGTCCGGCCCTAATAAAAGCTACAGAGAGTGACCAGAGAAATATACTGAAAGCTGCAATATTTGGTCTCCCTCTCCCCATCTAATTTGTGAAGCTCAATATTTCCCAGTAAACAAAGTCTCTAAGCTCCATTATTCAAGTAACAAATGCCCCAGCGCTCTGCGGCACGTCTAATTCTCCTCATTTAACACACTCATTCGTCTTAGCTCCAGAAATCATTAAAAAGTAATCAAGCTCCAGAGAGAGAGAGAGAGAGAGAGAGAGAGATAGAAAAAGAGAGGAGGAAAACAGAGTTGAAGGATGGATAGAATCCTCACAAGTGAAACAGATAGACAGACGGCAAGAGCTTTAGAGAAAAATCAAACCAGCAGAGGTTCTCGTTTCATCGCAAGCAAAATCCTTCCTTTCTACTTAAATGTCCCACTGTGCCATGGGAGGTTTATGATCTGTTGGCGAAAATGTCTGTGTCTCCTGACCCATTCTTACTCCGCTCACACTACAGAGCACCGTTGAATTCTTATTGGAGTACGTCCAGCCGCGCCAGCCTTGATTACAGTCCTGCTTCTTTGTACGGAGGTGTTTAAAATGAGCAGAGCTGCTGGAGGGAGTGTTTGCTAATGGCAGAAGGTTTAATGCAGTATAAATGAGGAGAGTCATACTAATGAATGCTCAGCGTGCAGTGGGACTTGACTGGTGAGCGTCAATAAGAGGGAAACACAACACGCAGTGAGGCAGAGAGAGAACTTAACGCACATGCCTAGGGACACTCAGAGGCCTGAGTGTGTATATACACACAAATCACACAACACATACACGCTCTCTCTAACGGAACGCTAAGTAGAACTGTGAGAGTTGCAGCAGAAATGCCAGAGCTCTTCGTAATGGCTGCCAAAATATATATTAAAAAGTATATAAAAAACATTTAAAAAAACAATAATTATATATCTATATAAAATCCATTGCTTTTCCATTTTTAAAATTGTATTAATTTCCATCAATTCTCTAGGCCTGGAAATCACAATGTAAACGTTTCCGGGTTTTCCATGAATGTGAGAACACCGAATCCTATTCAGAATGGATGACAAGCTGGTGGACAGACGTTGAGATGAGGCTGTGTGTGTTTAGAGGAGGTTCACGGGCCATGGGTTTTCTCCATTAATTCAGTTCTGACCCCATAGCACAGAGTTCAGAGCATTTAACCTGAACGTTCCGGCACTTCAATTACACCACAACACACACACACATACGCGCACACACCTACCTACACCAATCCATACCAGCAACCCATACATTTCTACATGGTGCGCTTACACACAAACATGATATTTGCATCATTCATAGTAAATTAATGTGGTAGAGCAATTTCTTGTGGTATTAGAAGTGTGAAAACACATGCAGAAACACACAAGCCTCTCCAGGGTAAAGGAGTGTAATGCATGAGAAGGGCAGCGGTGCGACAGTTCATTCATCACTGTCAGTGTGACCATACATCACTGAGACCCACAGACATGCACACACGTGCCAACATGACCCTGCCACTCAACCGCAACACGACCACAACGCAACTGTGTGGACAGATGCAGATGCAGGATTTTGCTTCTGCGTGTGTGTGTGTAATGCCTTGTTTAAAGGGTTAGTTCATACAAAAAGAAAATCCTGTCACTATTTATTCAATCATGTCATTCCAAACTTATATGCCTTTCTTTCCTCATTGGAGAACCAAAGGCAGAATTATGGGGGTAGAATTGTTGCATTATTCCAAATAAATAGATTATGATCCACAAATAAATGTAAAGAGATTTACAAAAAAATTAAACATATTGACAAATAAATAGAATGATATCCACAAATAAATCTCAGTTTCACTTAATTCAATTCACAAATAAATAAAATGAGATTTGCAAATAAAAAACAAATTTCACAAATACATTTTTATGTCACAAACACAACTTTGCTTGCCATTCATTTG